CATGCTAGCACTAGCCTGGTTGATTATATCTATGCTAACATTAGCCCCTCCTATTATCAATAACAAAATAACATTTAAACATTCAGGAAGGTTTTGCATCACCAAAGCACAAAGATAAATAATCTTAAAATAAATGTATTTCTCCTCGTTTAAGAAGTTAAGACAATTTGCCAATGAATAAACAGTTTAAAAGGAGCAAAATAAAAAACTCTGTTATCCTATTTCATATAAATATATATTTATTAAGGTCAGACACACTCGTTGACAGATCATCTTAATAATCTAAGGTGAAACTAACTTATTTTATGAGAAAAGATTATTTTTAGATCGTTTTTTTTAGTAGACTTTGTGGTTTCAAATGGACTGATGTTCTCTGATGCTTAGGGGCCACCGGGGGCCACCAATCAACAAGCCTTGATCTTTAGCTCTATTCAAGGACTTAAACTAAATAAAATGAACCTAAAGAAAAAGTAGGTTAGAAATGAAAGACTGTTGGTGAAAACTTTTATAAATAAACCTCCTAAAGTAGTGCCATAAAATTTGTAAAATAAATAAGTAAAATAAATCAACTGTAAAAAATGTAATGAGACTGAAAGATTTTTTTAGAATTTAACCCAAATGTATCATATTTGATACATACGGTTTCTGAAATGTTTTGCGTCTGACACCTTTTGCATAATTTAATGGTAAAAACTTTGCTCAAAATCCTATTGTACACAATCAGATATACCTGATAACAGCCAGTAGAAGACTACACAAAAAATAATCTTGCCTTATCGCATAGTAATAAATTAATATCAAAAATGTATTTCTTTTTTTTCTTTTTACATATTTTGTTAAAATGGCAAATAAGGAATTCAAACCAAAAAAGTAATTTTTTGTTTTGTTTTATTCTTGGATCGGGCTTTAAAGGGTTAAACATTTTTGGCAATATTTTTGAAAAAAAAAAACAAAAAACCCCCGAAGTCTCAGGTTGAAATTATTCTAACTTAGTTTTTCCTTTTTCCATTTTTTTCTTTTTTTTTTTGCAATTTTGAAAAAAAAAAAAAAAAAAAGGTTTTGAACAAACTTTATGGTACTAATTTAGTCCCATAAATCCCCCCGATTAGCAGATTGGCATTTCATTTTATTAGAAATAAATCAGTTTTTAATGGATATTCCTCCAGCGGTAAAATATAATAAATTTCATCCTTTTTCCACCAAAAAAAAAAAAATAACAGTTTCCAAAAACTAAATTACAGTCAGAAATGAAATTAAACTCCAAAATACTTTTAATCCCAAAAGGGAAAATAAATAATTGATCCACAAACAGCCGCAGACCTTTGAGTTGATTTTATTAATCATTTCACTTCGACATCAGTACAGAAACCACAAACAGTTTAATTTCGTCTTCTTCCTGCAACATCTGTCCAAAAAAAAAAAAGCTTCAAGAAACTAGAACCAAAGTTGCGGCTGCTACGAAACCGTTATTCACAAACCAAGAGTGAGGAAACCAGAACCCATTAGCGTCACATAAAAACACAAACAGGAAAAGCAGAACAAAAACATGCTGCGACAAACCATTCTATGTGTCGTATTCTACACGCTAAACTCTACGCTGGCAGATCTAGGTGTGCAGCCCCTCTATAACCAGCCTCCATCTAAAGTATGTAGTTTTTATTCTTGGCTCTTGAGGGACCGGATCCGGCCCACGCGCCGCGGCTTTGACACGTCTTCCCCACTTCACTTAAAATTGCTCTGACGAGTTATGAAGCTTTTTTTGATGCGAAATTATGAGTCTGCTAATATTAATAGGCACCATCTTTAGCAAAACAAATGCTGAAAACTATTTTTTCCCCATTATGGCATAATTTTAAAGTATTAGATAGAATTGAGCTATAAAAACATTAGAAATTATTTGCACAGCCGGACCTCATTTCTTAAATCTAAATTGCATTAAATAAACTTGTGGCGATTATGTTCACATTTTTTCTCTGGTCACACGTTCAAGTTGGGAGACATGAAGAAGCTGCATAGAGTTCAGTAAGAGGGACCCCCCCCTTCATGAGCGTTTATATGGAGCTAAATACGGGCCATAAAGCTTGTTCAAAACTTTAAATAAAAGTAAATTAATAAACGCTGAATCTTCTTTTTTCAAAACCAATAGAGTATAACTTAAGCTTTAAAGACATTTCCATTTCCCACAGTTCCTGAATGCAACATATTGGAATCTTTTTTTCCATACAAGCCGAAGCGTCAGTCATCATTCCACACCCCATGTAATCCAAGCCCCGCCCTCAAACCAAGGGCGTCACAGTTTGTAACTAAAAAAAATAAATTGGTTCTTAACTTTTTTATTTTTCCTCAATTTTCAGAGATTTCTCTTCAGTAAAAAAAAAAAAAAAAAACTTAATTCAAATCCCTTTTTTGGGTTGAGATTGATTTTCCAATAAAAAATGTTTTGGTTTAAATATTTTTTCTCTTTTAACAGTTTTGAAAAATCCCAAATTCAAATCTTTTTTTTTTTTTGCCAAGACATTTGTTCAAGTTTTCAAAATTTCTTTTTTCTCTCTTTTTTTTTTTAAGTTTCCAAACTTATTTTTCCAGTTATTTATTTTCAGTTTAAAAAAACAAAAAAAACAACTTCTAATTCAAATCCCTTTCTTTGGGTTGAGATTGATTTTCCAATAAAACATTTTTTTTGGTTTAAATATTTTTTCTTTTAATGGTTTTGAAAAAAACCTAATTCCAAATATTTTTTTTTTTTGCAGACATTTGTTCAAATTTTCAAATTACTTGTTTCTCTTTTTTTGTTGTTTCCAAACTAATTTTTCCAGTTATTTATTTTCAGTTTAAAAAAACAACAACTTTTAATTCAAATCCCTTTCTTTGGGTTGAGATTGATTTTCCAATAAAACATTTTTTGGTTTAAATATTTGTTTTTCTTTTAACAGTTTTAAAAAAAATCCCAACTTCAAACAAATTTTTTTTTTTGGCAGACATTTGTTCAAATTTTCAAATTACTTGTTTCTCTCTTTTTTTTTTTAGTTTCCAAACTAATTTTTCCAGTTATTTATTTTCAGTTAAAAAAAAACAACTTTTAATTCAAATCCCTTTCTTTGGGTTGAGATTGATTTTCCAATAAAAAAATTTTTGGTTTAAATATTTTTTTCTTTTAATGGTTTTTTAAAAAAATCCCAAATTAAAAATTTTTTTTTTTTTTTTGGAGACATTTGTTCAAATTTTCAAATTACTTGTTTCTCTCTCTTTTTTTTTTGTTTCCAACTAATTTTTCCAGTTATAATTTATTTTCAGTAAAAAAAAAAAAACATGAAATTACTTTTTTCTCTTTTATTTTATTTTTTTAGTTTCCAAACTAATTTTTCCAGTTATTTATTTTCAGTAAAAAAAACAACAACAACTTCTAATTCAAATCCCTTTCTTTGGGTTGAGATTGATTTTCCAATAAAACATTTTTTGGTTTAAATATATATTTTTTTTCTTTTAACGGTTTTAAAAAAATCCCAATTAAAAAATTTTTTTTTTTTTGCAGAGACATTTGTTCAAATTTTCAAATTACTTGTTTCTCTCGCTTTCTTTTTTTGTTTCCAACTAATTTTTCCAGTTATAATTTATTTTCAGTTTAAAAAAAACAACTTTATTTTTTTTTTTTTTTAAACAAACTTTTTGGCCCTAACTTAGCCCCATACTTCAGAGCAACAGATTGAATAGGACCTTCCAATGCTGCGTATTCAGGAGGCAGGGACATGCAGGCAGATCCTGGATCAGGATAAAAGTGACTTTTACGTGTGCAGATGACTTTCTTCTCTCTTGTCCTTAAATCAGAAAAAGATGGAGCTGCAGGGCAACAGATCACTACGGTTCAGAAACAGCACAGAAACATCACGAGTAGGAATCCTATTGAACGAAATCTGGATCAATATATTACAGAGTATTTAGGGAAGAGGAGGAGATCACTTCCAGCTTATACTACAACATGCAGTCCAAAAAAAACTAATACTTTAAATTCAAAATGGCACCTTCTAACCGTAACAAACCTCTTTCCTCCTTCAGGGTCACCGGGGAAATTGTATGGAGTGTAAAATATGTCCCAAATCAAACAAAAAACAAAGAAATGATCACAGCACAAACAAATCTTTTCACTTTTACATTCCTTTTTTTAATTTTAGCCATTTTTTTTTCCAGATCACAGCCTTTATCTTAAATTAAAACGAACAGCTTTTATTTGGCAAAACAAAAAAAAAAAAATCCAAACCGATCACATTTTACACTCAACACAACAGCAATCTGAGAAAACCATGGAAGGGGGCGGGGCTTAATATTGAGGACTCCTCTAAACACGTGGGCGTGCGGCTTATTCCTAAAGGGTGAGGTCTTAACGAGCTAATTAAGATCAGTAACAGCTAACGGAAGTCTTAGAAAGCCGTTATGGAGTCCAAGCAGCCGCTCGTTCACAGAGCAGGTCTAAGTATCATTAGAATCAAAATATACAAGAGCTGGACACCGAGGGGGGAGGGGCTTCCTTCAGTATAAAAAGCTAGGGCCGATGGTCGCCTGTGTCGTCGTTCAGCTTTTATTTACAAGAACAGAAGTTTCCAGAACAGAACAAAACGCGGTGAACTAGAGCGAATTATCGCAGCTGGCTAAAAGGAAACGGGGATCAGTGCATGGGGGGGGGGTAGGCGGCGCTGCTCGGGATCAAACCAGCTCATAGATTCAGTCTAGTTCACCGGAGCCGCCGCCGCAGCGTCACATGACCTGATCAGAAGCTCTCCAGGCACGGCTCCGTTTTTTTATTATTTTTTAATGCAAGTGAAGCTGCGCAGTAGTTTGACATTAAACATCGAGTAGCTCTGAGATCTAGCTAGCACGGTTCAGTGATGAGGGAGGGGGGAGATAAAAGGGTGTTTTTCTCTCAGACGGCGATGGAGATGAGGAGGATGGAGACATGGAGGCTTTCTGATGGCGGATCATTCAGTTTTGCTGCGCTTCATGGCTCCCGGAAGTTTCTCTTGCAATCTGAGAGAAAAAAAAAGGATTAAACCAAAAAAACGTTTAATGTGAACCGATTCCGCAAAGACGGAACCGATACTTACTTTGCGATCGTGTTGTTGACCTGAGTGCGGATGAGGTCGATGTACTGATCAATCTGGGTCTGCAGAGGAAACAAACGGAGCTGATTGGGAGGAAAACTTTCCGCCATGTTGGCGGCAAACCGCCGCTAATCAGTGCAGCGAGTGAGGAAGACTTTCAGAGCTCGCACCGGAAACATCTAGAAATAAGTTAAAAGTTTATTAAGTGTAATTTGAGGAGTTAAAAGAGATGATTTGCCAATGGAATGAGTATTTTTACTCCTAAAATAAGATATTTAGATAATATTCACTTGAAATAATGCGATGGAATTGTTGTTTTCTTATTTTAAGTGTAAATTATCTTGTTTCTATTTACAAAATGTTTCTTTTTTCTCCTCAATTCAACAACAAATTCACATATTTTAAGAATAAAAATGACGGATCTAGATTTGGATTTTTTCCAGTGCATCAGAGATCTGAGTGTTTTCACTTCATGTGATGATCTGCTGAAGGAATGAAGAATATTTCTGTCCTTAAAATGCTTCCATACGATGCATTCTAATAGGATAGATCTGTATTTTTCTCATTTTAAAAGTAAATCTTTTTATTCCAATATTCCAGATAAACTAATTTTAAGAAAACTTTTGATTTTTCATCATCATATTT